ATGTCATGTTGGGAGAACTGCGCGAGACATGCCCCCAGCCTCCTCCCCCCGTGGTCACACCCACAGAGACAACCCCAGCGAGATGGTCACGGGGGCGACGGGACCGTCGCAGCTTCATCCCGACGACCCCGACGATCGATGATCGACCGGCGCCAACATGGCCCGCCCCTGTGCCGCTCCTGTCGAGAAGACAATCTGGGCGTCACGCCGAATCGACCCGGTGCAGAGCGCTGGGTGATCTCCGGGGCTTCGCGGGGGCTGGACAGGCGTCGCTGGCAAGAGGCGGGACATCGAATATGTCGGGACGAGGCTCTTTGCATGGCGCGGATTGAGTTGCCGCGAGTCCTGCGTGCGACTCAGTATATTTGCTGCGGAGATTTGACGGTATTTTGTGACGCGTGTTCCACACATTTGGCCGCCGGGAAGGGAGAGAGATATGCAAGCTCGCCGAGGCAAAACTGCCGATACCAAGAAATTTCGGATTTTAGTTGATTATTTACCCTGGCTATCTCATCAGTAGATGGCGTTCCGAAAAGCATATACGCACATGGCATAGCTTGACACTGCAAGAGACAGAATGCGAGCATGTCTCTCACGCAATGACAAGTACCATTACAAGGAGTGCATTGCACACATGAATTTAATACGTTCCCACATCGAAAAATCTCTCAGACCTTACACATATACGGCATACTCTGAAGTGTTAGCAAAAAAAGAACATCTGAGCTTCATTTTAACCCCACGTCATTGCCCATTTGCGATACCCGCGCACCAGCTTCCCTGTTTCTTAGTCCAAATCCATTTGATGCATCACTCGTTAAATGTCGAAATATCCCGCGGTCGTAGCATTCTACCTCAACCACAAGCACGGTGTCCGAACTAACGAAAATCGCGCCCCACGTGGTTCTTAGTCTGGGCGCTGATCCTGTTCCCCTCTCATTCAATGATGCAAATCCACGAAACTTAGCTGGATCTTTTCCCGCGCCGACCAAATTCCGAAAAATGATATGCAAATTTCACTGCGCCCCAGAGCTGTGCAATGAAGATCCGACCGCCCGGCCTTTTACAATGCTCCAGCTCGCACCAATAAAATAGTAGTATGTCTGGAGCGGCGGCGTCTTGTGGTCCGCCACGTCCGCAGATATATCGCCAACCCGCGCTGGAGTCAGGCTAGTGTACCAGGCCGGCAACAAATGAGCTTCCACACGCCCACCTTGTTCGCTTTCAGCCGCGGGATGAGGAACGGCCAGAGCAGGGGCGTCGTCAGCACCTAGCTCCGATGGGGGCAGGGGCGTCGCCACCATCTGGTTCTGATGGGGACAGGGGCGTCGCCAGTATCCAGTTCCGATGGGGGAACGGACTGACACAGATCTACCGCCAGAGCTCAGGGAAAAGTTCACATGCGGAAAGACCCGTGTTGCCGCTTGCGGGAAGGGGATTAGCCTTTGGGTAAGGGAATTGCTACTGCGCGGTGACACCGCTGACGGTCTGACACCCCACTTAGCTAGTACCGCAACGACAACGCCCTCCAAACGACGCCCTCAGCGCAAATGTTTGCGATTAGTGGTAATGAGGCAGAAAAACAGCCACATTACCACGTACTTCCCTCGCCTCCCGAAATACATACAAATGACCAACTGAGTAGCACCGCGCACGCCCCTCTAAATTCGGCCTCCCATATCTTATCTGCACATCACCCCCGCGGGATCGAGCCGGCGGGAGGCCCGTCTAATCGCATTGCGCGAGGTAAGCGTGTTTTCCTCGCGAACGGGGGCAACTGCCGATACATCATGGTCGCGGAGGGTGTTTACCCCACCGGCGGTCCTCATTAACCCTCGAAACAAGCTCAGGAGTGGAGGCGTGGATCAAACGCCCACATAGCTGGAGCGAGCGGCGCATCCCAAGGGCCCTCTCCGGAGCGTTCCGCGGCCCTCTTCCGGGCCAGATACGGAACTGCGTCATCCTGGCCATGCTGCATGAGCCTGCTTAATTCTCAATGGATCCCCGACCTGTATTCCCTGTCAATGTCTGAGCCGTTTACTTACGCAACGATCTTTTCACATCTGGCGAAAATCTGGAAGGCGCGCGCCATTTAAACGTCACCGTAAGATTTGCACCGGGCGACACGGGACGTTGACGATCACCCTTTTGGTTGGCGTCGGCCATCTAACGTTGGAGCCGATGGGCGTCCACACCATAGAAGATCAGCGGCTGGGGGAGGGGGCCGCCGTGGCCCAGAGGCCGGAGTCTCTCCCCCCCCCCAACCTCCTCGTGACCCGAGGGAAGCGTCGGTGCCAGTCGGCTGACAAAAAGTACTTAAGCTATCGAAACCGCCAAGGATGTATATATATATATATATATATATATATATATATATATATATATATATATATATATATATATATATATATATATATATATATATATAGGTGGGAACGCTATCAAGCTCAGCTGAGTCAATCACCTCTGCTGCAGTGCGGTTTCCCCCAGTTTTTAACGCACTGGCCGGGATGGCTGTTGTGGTTAGCACCAAAATATCCCACGCCAACGGCCGCAGCGAAACACGAACATATCAAACAAAGGCATGATCGGCAATACATCTTACGCTCGTTGCTCTTCCACTTGTTTGCCTGGTGAGGGAGATACAGGCATTAGACCCAAGACCCCCAATCACTAGGACTTCTCCAACTTTTTGCCGTGCTGGGGAGGAGTGTCGCCGCAGTGCAGGCACAATCACGCTGATTTAGGGTGCCCAGAGGGCCTCGGCGGTAGGCAATGAAGTACCGGATGGGTCGTTTTGCCAACTTTTGAGGAAACTGCACATAAAATATGTCCATACACTGATTTTATGTTGCGCATTTACCCCATTCGTGACGCGTTTTGGCCCAGCACGTACTGGGACGGGCTCTTGGCCTCAACCACGCAATCAGGTCGTCAATCCTATGTAACGATGACATGGCACATATGGTGGTGGCACAGATGGTGGTGGGACACATGGTTTGGAACATGGACACATGGGACTATGGTGCAGTCCACCCGGCTAGCATTCGAGTCCACACCACGGACGAGAGCACCATGTTGTGACCCGGAGCTGGGTCCTAATGGTAATGGGATTACATGGCCAATGAAGATTGAAGAGCGCCATGGCCCAGTGCGTCCGTAGCTGGCAGAATCGAATAAGCTGAATTGCCATCGGTTCGATGATTTATTGAGCTTTTAGGGAGGCGTCGAACTAACTTGGTCAGGTGCTTAGGGTGTAATGGTACGCATTTATTCCACCGTTTGCGTGAGGCAGGCTGTTCGGAAGGGTTCTCTTAGGGTGATCAGAAATCTGGACGCTAATGTTTTTCCGATCGTGCTCCTAGAATTGTCACGGAGGTGACTAATTTCACAAAACTTAGAGGCGGTTTAATTCCAGGAAAAAGATTTCGTCAACGCAACAAACACTTTGGACACGCTTCCTTAAACTGGCGGTGCCATTCCACATCCTTTCGTTTTCACACAGATCTTCAGACCGAAAAAATCGAGTGATGATATTGATGGCACGGTACGTTTGGTGCCAAGTCATGAAATTATGAAAATAAGAACACGTCATGCAAGTCTGCAATGAAGACTTTTACCGATCAGATCGATAAAATCGTGCGAAGGTCTTTGTGCATTTGGAAGACGTTTTGACAAGCCGCCGTATTCTTTTGTAACATGTTGTGTCCAAGTTGAAGTCTGCGAACCCATATAAGACTTAACAATGGACAACTTAACAACACGCACGTTTTTGTTGAAGACGATAGTCCAGTGAACCGAAGATTTCTTTTCCGGGAAGAAGATTCGCAAAACGAGCTGGGGCTGAGCAGAGAAGATTGAACAAACCTACACCCAAAAGAATAGCACAAAAAAACATTCTCCCCGAATTTCACTCACTTCCCTCTTCAACCTGCGGGGTTAGACCAGCACACTCATCACCCAACCCCCAACCCCAACCCCCAACCGAACAAGAAGCTACACTCTGGCTTTTTCATGGACACCACACGAAAGGTATTAATCTTGCGCTGACCTTCCGAGAGCGCACCAAAAGCAAAGGCAACGATCACCACATCAAACGCACGCCGCGCAAGATCTGCATTCGATACCGCGACCACGTGACGTCACTGGTCAGCCTCTCCCATTGCGCGGCGCACCGCACCACGCAGATGAGCGACAGCACCGGCGCATTACAGCCATTCATGCAAGTCTTATCGGCCCATCACATTGCAGCGAACGCGACTCAATAACGTCGACCATCCAGCGCGGCATCCTAAGCCGACCCGAGGCCAGCTGGGGCGGATTTTCCCCGCACATGTGTGGCGAAACGTCCAGCTGTCGAGGACAAGCCGGCAACCTCAAGGAGGGACACATGCCGGCCTGACTGCCATTGCGCACAGTCGCGGGCCCAGCAGGGTGATAGAAAGGCCCAGTTCTGCGCTCACCAGGGCATGGGGGGTTCGTCACTTTGATTTTACCGCTCGCGTTTTTGTTCGCTTTGGCCGGACGCTGCCGATGGTGCATCTTGGGCCAGACTAGAGGAGTCAGCCGACCATTCAGGGCGGTGTTCGGACTGTGGACGCGGTTGCCATGCTGTGTGCGCAGCGTGGCGCTCCGGCATGGCGTTTCGCTCGGACGTGGGCTCGAAAGAAGCATCACAATTCGATTCGACGTCTGCTATGATGCTGCATCCATTCGCCAAGCAGCCGGCTCCTCACGAAACACAAGTAGCCTGTACGGACACAGGCGTCTTGATGTCCACCTTGAGTCTTAGACCAAACGATTTTAGGCCCGATAGATCTATTGGACGGTAAGGCTTCAAACCCGTTAAACAACAAAAAACCTGGGAAAGGAAAATGGCGCAATGCCATCACAGTGCGCACCACTGTCCGGTGCTCCACCACACCCGCTCACCCTCTATATCCGCGCAGACTCACGGTAAGCATCCCTGTCACAACTCACAGCACCCCTCCTAAACTCACCGTAGACGGTGAGCCGCGCCGGAGGGCTGACTCGGCGGTTGGCCACGTTCTCGGCAACGCACGAGTAGTTGGCCATGTCGGACAGCTTGGCGGCCGCGATCAGCAGGTTGCCCTCGTTCGAGATGATGTAGTTGGGGTCCAGCTTGGGGTCGACCGTCACGCTGTTCTTGAGCCAGCTGAGCGAGGGCGGCGGGTTGCCCTCGGGTGGGACGCAGCGCAGCTCCACCGTCTGGTCCACCTCCACGCGGTCGGAGAATGGCGGCGTGTGGAACGATTTCTTCAGGTCTGTGGACAAGCAAAAGCCGGTTATGGGAATGTAATCCGGTTCGCGAACGAACGCTGACCATGTGGTGGAGATTTCTGCAAGCTTGAGAACCAGAAATGGTGTTGGTGATCAATTCCGCTATGTGGACAGAGCACAGCGGTTGGCGGTCACTTCTTCAGATATGTGGACAGACAAGAGTGGTAATGTGACTTGGCCAGGTTGGCTATGACCAAGAGCAGGTGATGGTGGCGTTCTGAGACGCGGACGAGGTACACGAGGATGTGGCGATGACCTCGGCCAAGATAAGAACAAGACTGCTAGCGACTTGCTTAGTTTGGTGGGACTGTCAAAAGAGCTTCTCGCGTCTGAAGCCAGGAGTATTCCACCTCACAATCAGCTGCGTTGTTCCAAAGATGTACAGTTTTAGACGTCACTTTGTGGTACCTATGATTTTTCATATTACACCGCTCAGGTGACGGCTCAGAAAAACAACACTTATTTGACCAACACCAACACGGGAAGGCGCCCGAGACTGCAAAAAATAAAACAACAAAAAACAGTGCTATTCGTACGACTACTACGCCGTGCTGTCCGATTCTCCAAACTGTTTCTATCCTCCCGCGCGCCCAATACCGCCCAATCATCGAACCAGCCCCCATTATCTGCGCGAAAATCATCGCCCAAATGAGCTGGCACATTCCCGCGCCACTGCTCGCCACATTAGCCACGTTCCCGCGCCACTGCACGCCGTGGCGGACACATTCCGCCCTAGCGGAGGACACGGCGGTTAAGCGGCGCCCGCCGGGGGGCGCCGGCCGAAACGCGGGAGGGGGGCGTGCAACCCGCAGATACCCGCTGCAACAATGGCGCCCGCGCCCCGCTCGCCCGCTGGGTGTTGTTTTAGACCATGATGGATGGCCGTGTAGGGACTGCAGGCGCCACCAGTGGATCATCGCGTATTTGTTTCGACTTCGTCCGCAGGGGGGAGGAGGATAACGGAGCTTGTCGACGCAGCGCCTGTTTCAGCCGTGGTCCGGGGAAATCACGCCAGACGGAGGAGCTCAAACCGCTCTGCGCTAGACAACTTTTCGACTACAACTTTCGACTCAGGTTGCACATGTCGAGAGCAGGAGGTGTCTCAATGGAGGTGTCTAAAAATATCTCAATACCTATAGGAAGAGCGTGACCTACTGTGAAGTTCCACCCACGGAGTTCGCATGCAAAACTCTCTGGAAAACACTCAGCAAATGCAACTTTTGCGCCTGGGCGCAGAGGACAAGCCGTTTTTTTTATCTGGGTATCAAACTGGTAACACTTACACCGGAGGGAGGAGGCGGGGGGAGGGGGCACGCGAGGCCCCGTTGGTGTCGCCCGTACATCCCATCCTGATTACTTTGTGTTTGTTAAGCGCTCTCCCCCAACCACAATTCTTTAAGAGAAGTGTGCACAGCTGAAGCACATCGACATCTCAGTTGGAATAACTTGGCCTCTTCTGCCGCGGGTGCGGCGGCACCCTAACCGCTGTTGAAAGTGGGAGGCTGCACTGGGAGGATTCGCCCAACGCACTTATGCTCCGGACAAGCCCCCATAAATTGCGGGGAAGCCCCGAAGCTCTTTGTTCCAGCATTAGTGAGCTCCTCCCACTACAAGCCAGTCGATCTGGGCATTAGTTCGGACGTAATTGCACAACAGCTGAATACGCATTGCGAATCAAGCGATGTAAATCAGGCGGGTGATCGTTTATTAGATTGTAACGCGCACCGACTCGTGGGAATAGCCCACTGGTCTCGGATTCCGGTGAAGCATGCAGCACCCGGCATCGTAAATCGTCCGATGGTCGAAAGCTAACAGATGTGATAGCCCATTGGGCCATACATCTTGTGAATTGCAACCGCTTAATTTCGTCACGAACTATACGGTGCTGAACGTCGATACGTCTCCCTAAATCCACACGTCATAACCAAAACCAGTACGCAAAGATGACGGCAAACTAGCTGGATCCAACATAGTCATGGTCATAACCGTTACATTTGCGCACTAATTGAGATGACCAAATTAATTCCCAAGCAACCGTGATTTACGGTAGTTTCTACCCCAGAAGGCTCCGCGAAGATCCAGCCGCGTCGACGCCTTCCTCCAACCGTGCTCTTTTTTCATCGGCGGGCGATGACGATGACACGGCCGTTCGGTGGCCGCCGCAGGACACCGAACGGTAATACGCCGTGTAAATAGTTCGCTGCAGCGCATCATCCATCTAAACCGGGTTACGTTGACCGCACGTCTACAGCGACAGCGGGAGCGGAGGTGACACAGCGGGCGCGGAAGCCACAAACTCTGAACGCAAGTTTGAGAACCGCCGAGTCACGGCCCCCGCCGCAGCGGCTGATTGTGCGCGTGCAGACGGACTGGCGCGGCGAATGCAATGCAGGGGAGGGCCGGGTCGAATCCCCGCTGCGCCGTAAGTTTTTGCCGTGGCTTGGTTGTGACGTGCAGGAAGGCACGCGTGGGAGAGCGAGAGAGGAAAAAGCCGAATGCAAAGCAGCCGTCAGACCGGCAGACAGTGACAGCAGTGAAAACAGAGAGACGCGCCGTCACACCATCCCGCGATTTTCAATCTCGAAGCCCTTTTCTTTTCTATTTTTCTTCATGTGCATTCTATCCAGCTGCCTGTGCCCGATCTGGCGTAAATAAGATGCGAATAAATCGGGCCAGAATTTTAACCTTCAAACGTGCAAGAAGCCAAGACAACGTCCACATGAAACGTCCCGACAGAAGAGTTATTCCATAATCCTACTCATCTCGGTCCCGCATGCCTAAACGATCGAACTTTTTGGCTGTGTTTTTGCGCGCTGAGTGTTGACAACAGCTGGCCGGCTTCAGGCTTTCCAAAATCCACCCAAACAACGGACTGAACCTCTTCGAAAATGACGCCAACGGGCGCAAAAGCCTTCCCGCGGATTACGGTCCAGCCTTTCCAGGGTGGATGTTTCTTCTGCGCCGCTCCGACCGAACACAATGAGCCATAAAACTGGCGCTGCCGGCGCGCCCCGACTGCACCAGAGAGGTCCGGGGCATAAAACCAGCGCGCTCAGAATACAGATGGCGCCTGAACTGGACCAAAGGTGGTATCTAGAAGTCCGACGGAAACGCGTGGCCAAAGTGGTGCGGGTCTGACATTACGGAGATGCCGAAGGTAGTTTACGTGAGCCCGAAATACAAGGTGCTGCAGGCAGCGAGGGACGGAAATCGCACGAAGTAAACGGAATGGTCGGCGCTATAAATCAAATTTATTGGCTCATGCACAGGGACCACTGTCAGAATGTTGAGCGGTTTCGACTGATAAAATGCGACTCGAGAGCGTCACTCAAACCGATGTAGGCAGCCCAAGCCCATCAAGATCAAAACCGCAACGACCTTGTCGGAGCCGCGACAACGCAAAGCGCTTTTATGCCCAAGCGCAGCGGAAGTGTCCGAAACCACAAACCCGCTCAGATGGGCTGTGCTCCAATTGTTGGCAGCATATCTTCCCCATCCTCCCTTCTCCCCCGTTGTGGGTATTATGAAACAAAACTTACATTTAGACCGTTTTGGAATCCAACGACGTAAGCAAGTCATCTCAATTTGACATGATATCTGATTTCCAATCATCGATGGAGATGAAAAATCAGAAAAGTAACCCACTTCCGGCTCACACGCTTACACGGCGCGATCCAAAAACGGTCCTAATTAAGTATTCGCCTCGTAAGACCAGTCACTCGAGCCTCACTGACGACAGTGACCCCGCCGAAGAGCGGACTCATCCGTGTACGGTCCGATGTTTTGTTTCTGATGGCACCCTCTCATTAGACACCAGCGACAACGGTGATCCTGCTCGCGCCGATTTCACATTGACCTGCAAGGGCCGTGACGTCGTCGGGATTCGAACCCACGCGGAAGTCGAAGGCCCGATACACAACACGCCTCCGAGGTCTACTGGAGGACCGGGAAGCGGGACAGTCGACCGCCACCAGGTGGCGCCATCGGCGTGCCTTCCTCAGCAGGCGACGACAGGCCGCGCCCCGGTAATGTCTTATTTATACAGCGCCTGCGCAGACAAACAAGCGAATGGCCGGTCCAGAGAGACACTACCGGTCTCGCCGACGTGACGGCCGGGGCAGCGGGGTGGTCTTCTCAGCGCACCGCGTTCGGGCCAGCTTGGTTCCCACCCTTGCCAGGTAAGGGCCACTCAGGCTGGAGCACCCCCAAAGCGGTGCCCATGTGGTAATATGAGATGTCTCCGCGGACAGGTCTGGCGGGATTGAAGCCGTGTCCAACATCTGGGCGCATGAATAAATCCTGCGCAAGCACATGCCATCCCATAAAATTAAGTTTAATGTCGCGGGGTTACAGCCGTTTGCTTTTTGTTTTCCAGGGGTACATAGGGATATAAAATTGCTCTGGACAGGCCATTACTGCCAAGCCTGAGCATTCGCCCGGAAAATCCTAACAGGTACGCGCACTGAAGCGCTCCAGCCTGCACTCCTTTCCGCATCTGCAGAAAACACGGCAGCGCCTCGGTCCCCTCAGCCGTGCAGCACGGCTCGCCGAGCCCGTGCAGCCGTCCCGGCCCGCGCACCGGCGGCGTGTCGGTGCCGGCGCTGATTGAGCCGGGTACCGTTAGACGGCGCCGCGCCGGACTGTGTCACGTACCGACCGCCGCCCAAGCGTGCCCCGCCGGCACGCCACAGCAGTGCGCCCGGACGGCCCGACCCGGCCTGGCCCGAAAGCCGTCCGACCCGGTCTGACATGGTATAATTTGCCGATGCTTGAGGGAAGTGTTCGTGGGTGAGAGGTGGCTAGGTGTGAACCATCGAATTTTTGGGTACGCGCAATAGACGTGGCAAGTGGAGCAATGTTATTGTGACGTGCGGATAAGCCACCGAATAAAAAAATTGGTACAACATAACGACAAAAGATCGCAACAAGAAGTTTCCATCCAAAGCCTTCAACCAAGCAGTTTGTAGTTTCGTAGACGACACAT